AGATTATTATATTCTTATTAAATGTTTTTAATTTTTTATCTTTTAAATGGCTAGGTTTACGTAAAAATATAATTGCCCATCAAAATTTTTATCGGACTAATGTGAAAATGGAAAATTGCAATGAACATCTTATTCTTAATAGATATGCTTCTTTCAATTTCATATGTCAAAAAAAAATTGTAGTTTTTTTGAATCACAGTAATGTTTTTTCATTAACGCCCAAATTAATTTTTTTTCTGATATAAAATCGTAGACAGCTTGAGAGAAATAAAAATTTAAAAAGCTCGACGGGTGATTTGTTTACTAGCAATATTTTTTTTTATAGGCCCATCAGCGTACTTGCTTGGCCATAATGAATTTTCAATTTTTTCCCAAATGGCATACGGAGTAGATTTTTTTGGGTCTTTTGACAAAACTAGAACGCGGTACATCACACAGAAAAACGCTTTGATATAGTAAATAACAATGATCATTTTAGAAATTATTGTATTCAAAGTTTATCTGATCAAGGTAAAATTAAGAATATTTATTTAAATATATAATTTTAAAAGTTATAATGCTTCAACCAAAATTAAAAACAAATGAAATAAGAATAGTCTGTTTCTTTTAATGTTCATGATTTTTATTCCAATGGAAACTAAGGTAAAGTAAGTTATTACTGTCTTACAGTGAATACCAATGTTTTCACTGTCTTGAAAAATACTTGTTATTTGCCCAATTATCATTCCCATTTTTTCAATGCGGCCTATATTTAATTTAATGATTGCTAAAATGCACACAAACGCACCAAACCACACCACACATCGGCAAACTGCAATCGCGTACGTGTGTATAGTTAAATGTGATCAACTGATCGGTGTAGGTAGTATTTGGTTGTTTGTTATATTTGCTAATTTCTTAGGGGTTGTCCGCCATGCATTATCTAGTAATTTAATTACTCAATTATATCTAAATGTTAACAAAAAGGTAAATGTGTACTCATACACAGTTTATCTTGATATTCGGTGTCATGCCTTTTGCTTAAATGGATGAAGTTTTTATTTATTTATAAAAAAAATTCTCATAGCCTTTCAGTACCATCATGACATCCTTGCAGGGCCTCCTGAAAGTATATATTGCTTTAGGACGTTCAGCAATCTTTAGGATTCGCCTCTAAATACATAAGATGAACATCCAGTACAGTAACGCTTGCTAGTGATGGGACAGCAACTTTTTTAGAGCCTAATATCACCAACACTTCTAGTGGGTTCCTAATAGTTCCTACAGAACACAGAACAATTTTATTTTATGGATCGAAAAACCTGCCTTCAAAAGACTACCAGAAGCAGTTTCCAGAATTCATTTTATTTAAAGTTCATATTAATGTATTATACAACTAATATTTGCACAAGAATATACAAATTTAAAGGAATTAGAGCTTTGATTGCTTTTAATGTAGCCATTCATTAGAAACCATAACTTTAATTTATGCCAATGATAGTTTATCAAATAACAATTTAATTCAATAATTTCTTTTGTTTTAATTAATTAAGTTTAAATACGAATTTAATATAATCACAATTTAATTCAATGACTTCTTATGTTTGAACTAATTTTAAGCAGGTTTGCACAAATAAATGTAAGACAATCATAGCTCATTTAGGTATTGCAAATAGAGTACACAATTGGCTCAATGTTTATACCATTCACAATATGATTTCATGCACAGAGAAAAAGCTTTAGCTTTTTCTCTGTGCATCGTTCTAATCGTTCTCATCATCCTGATTCGCGGTAACATTTATTTCAATAGAGCCTGCTATGTATATCAGGTTTAACTCATTAACGTTTAGCGTCCTATTTCAAAATAGTTATTTATGAAAAGTGGTCAAGAAAATAAATTTCTCCCGGGGGAAATAGCAAAAGCTGCTAATAAGGCAACAGTATAAGATTTTGTACAATCGTTTTTTGAAATGGCGAGATCTAAAAAATGTAAGTAAAAAAGAGTGGTTTTGTCAAACTTTTAAAATAAATCGTTTTATGCTTTAATTGAAGGCTATGATGAACATAAAGAATCAAGACATAACCAAATATTACAAGCATGTTGCTTTTTTGAAGCGAAAGGGCTAAAAATATCAACCGAAAAATTTGAAAGTAGCAGGGAATATATAGATAAAATTCTAGCAGAAATAAATCACGTCATTTAAGAAGCAAAATGCATTTTATCCAAAAGATGACTTTCTGTTCTTGAAACATCTTCTAATGGGGCCCTGTAGATTCTAAACGTGTCTATTCCTATCAAAATCTTCGGGGAAAGTTGCCCTGGACATTCAAAGTGCATTTTGTCTTATAGGACAAAATGCACTTTGAATATATTTGTATATATACAATATCAAAACGAGTTTGGTCCTTTTCTACGTCATTGTTGCCAGATTACACAGTACAATAGAGTTTCTAAAATGTCTGGTACTTTACTACAAAACAGCATGAAGTCTCTGTTATTTCCATACAGTGAGTTTTGTCCGCTTCAAACAATTAAAGAGCATTTCCCAAGTAGCCACATACCAAATTCCACTTTACTACTACTACCACTTCCAAGTTATGTGGTTTGGTTGCCTTCATTATTCATAATCAACTTTAAAGTTTAGACAACTTTAAGTTACTTTCAACCAGACCTTGGAATTTGGGCAGTGCTCGTCATTTAATTTTAGCACCAGTGCTTCAAATGATATTTTAGACAATAACAGCGTGTTTAAAAATTATAGTCTTAATGACGATATTTTTTCCAATTTTGAACACCCTATACCCTATACCTCCAAAATAAAATAAAATAAGTTGACAATTCCTTTAGTTATATGAAATAAGATCAATTAATTTTATTGTTATTAAGTAGCATCAAAAACATAAACGTCGCCTGAAAATAATGTATGTTTGAAAAACGGCCTTCATTTAGAATGTTTAAGGTTTTCAACCACTTAGGTATACGTTGTAACGTGATTCACGTTTTAATTTGAAAAAAGAACGTCCGTCGACAAGATATGATAGAACAAATCAGATTGCATCGGATGTTGTGATTTTTTGTTGTTTTAGTCCTTTAAATTCGCAAAAGGAAATTTCTCTCGGCGAGCGCACGGCGCATTTACAAGTTTCTATTTCTTTATGCGATCAAACTATAAATAAGAATCCTGTTATTGAATTTTTTAAATTGTTCTGCCGACCGGTGGACTGGCCACTGACATGACAGCTAGTTATACGTATAAAAACTAGTAAATCTAGAAAGTTAGTCTGCGGCGCCACTCGTTACTGTCAACCCAGCACCACTAAGACCATCGGCTTTTTGCGAAACATTTTTCCTCCAAATTGGATTTTATATTAATAATACATAGTCAATATGACATCTTAAAAACTTTTTTGTCCTGCTAAATTTAACGAATGTCCCATCAATTTTTCTTAACCATATGATGTCTCTTTTTTCAATATTTTTAGTCAAAGTAAACGAAATTCTAAAGGGTTTCCTAAGTTTTAAAAATGATTTTGAAGGGAAGAGTATCTACACAGTAAAAAAATATTTGTTAACCAAATATAAACCAGATTTTATGTTAATCCAGGTCCACATAACTTTATGTTAATTTTACAACCAACTTTAATCTGTTAATCTAATTGAATAAGCATTTTGTAATTATAACAGACATTTTGTATTGTGTTAAAATTAAAATTTTACAAAATTAAATTAACAAACTACAAACTCAAGTAAACAAATCTTTTTTTAACAGTGTACAAATTTTCGTTTATGGCTAAATAGATTTTACAGCCGTAACCCCTAAATACAGGCACTGCTCTGTATTTAGATCGATGAAGACGAAGAAGAAGACATTTTTGTTAACTGGTCAAATAGCTTTAAGTAAGCTAAAGGCCCTGAACACAGTGCTCTACGTTTAGATTAATGAAGAAGAAGAAGAAATTTTTGTTAAAAATAAATTTTACCAACTTATTTTAACACATATTTAAAAATGTCGGAAACACAGTTTAGAATGTTAAAAACAGTCTATGTATTCATTTTCCCGCTTTTTTAAACAATGTCCCACGTCCCGCAGAGTTAATAAAATATCCCGATATTTCTATTTTTTCTAATTGCGGTTTGTATTGTGAGAATCTGCGACATGATGAACAATGAGACTTGGTCTTAGATGCTGCGCTCTTTATGATCTGTGATTCTATCGCTCGACTCGCTCCCCCCAATGCTCAAATTTTTAATAATGAGCTTCCGAAAGCATATTTAGGATTTATTTTGAATGTGGGAGCTGTAATGAACACTGTTCAATGAACAGCCCAATTGCAACCTCAAAATCTGGTTGTAGAAATTTACGCTAAAGTAAGCAATTTTTTCCTTTATCACTTTTGTTACTGTTTTTGAAAAAAAAATCATATAAGTTAACGTAAACATTAAGCATTTGATGGTCAGACACTGGTTTCGTTGCGTCAGCAACAGCTGTAGTCAAAGTTTAGTCGGCCGTTAAAATCATCGACAGCAGTACCGAGAATAACCACAGTTAAACAACTGGCAGACTCTACTTGGTTCCTCGACCCACACCGCTTACACGTTAGGAAGGTCCTGGTGTAAACGAATCCAGTGTCGTGCCATAAAAATGCTTTATAATTAGGATTTTTTTATTAGAAAACAGTAGCACTAATACAAAAGTGAAATTTGTTTACATTGGCCTGAACCATCCCCTCAATGGATGGACAACTTATTACATGACGCTGTGTATGTTCTTGAGTTATTAAATAAATATATTGATCTTATTATAAAGTTTATAAACTTATATAAACCTAATTTGTATCTTAAGTACAGTTCAAAGTTTAAAAAAACAAGTAATAAAGATTTTTTAATACCTACGCCTTATCTTAATGTATGATTAAATAAAAAAAATATGGAAAACAAGAATGTCTAGTTTGGCTTCGCTCTCGAAATTATTTTGTCCCGCTTTAAAAATATTTTGGTGCAGATATCTTAAGAATCTAACATCTTTGAAACCATTTACTCAATTTTAAAACACTTGTGCTTGTATAGTTGTTTACTTGATCGTAAACGGTTTGAAGAGGAGCATCTCGAGGATGAGAAGACGGTGGATTGTTCTTGGCGAAGGAACCGATTGCCTTGGGTGACGACGTCCACTGGGGCAACAGAAGTGCCGTGTGCGTTTGTCTGTCTGCTCTGAACGTGGTTATTACGTGGTCTACAGACGGTCCGCGCCTCGGGACAAAATCGCTTCTTTTGCTGCACCACACATAACCGATCTCTTCACTCTCAACAATTATCGATTGTTTATCGATACGCCGCAGATCACTACCATACCTTCGGTGCTTTTTATTTCTCGTCGTCTTCTTCTTCTTTCCGCTTGCTTCTTTTGTTTTATTTCAGAACGATACCGAGATAACAACTCTAACAGACGTTTTACTTTTGATAAATTACTCGATAAACATTCCCTCCCTTCTTTGATACACCTAAACGGCTCAAGATTTTTGGTTCTTCTGATATCTTAAGTTTTATTATCTGATTTATATATCTATAGCCATAAATTCAGGCAGCGTTTGGTAATTAAGTAAACAAATTATAATTTTTTTAATTATAAAAAACTTAAAGGTTTTATTTTGCCAATGATAACAAAATACACTTTTCTATATGACTGAATATCTATATTTACTATTTCATTATTAATTCACTTGCTGGTGTGGAAACCAGTTACTTCCATATTGAATTAAAAAGTCCACTATATAAGCAATTTCAAATATATAAGAATGTAATACACAACTATATACTTTTTTAACTATATATAAACCACATTAATAATTAATTAAGGAATTTAAGCCTGGTTCTAACAGAAAAGTAATTTAATTTAAGATGTAATTTAATTTAACTTAAAAGTTAAAAACCCAAGAATCCTTTGTAACGTTCATACAGTGATGTAATTTAAGACATAATTTAATAGTTGGCCAACTTTTATCTTTTAAATTAAATTACGTTATTTCAAGGTTATTTCGTACTAACCTAACCTATTTTCGGAGAATCTAACATATTTTGTGTAAACGGTTTTAATAATAAGAAAAATATTTCGATTGTAATTACAAAAGTAATCCATATATCTAATACTTAAAGTTTTAGATACATGAAGTAAGCACTCTTTAAAATATTGTTTTTAATTTTAAACACTGTTAAATTACGTTACTTTTTGTATGAATGCAAGAAAATTAAATTAAATTACTTTTAAAGTTAAATTAAATTATATTACGTTATTTCTCTATTATAATAGGTTCTATAGAACCCAGCTTTAGTTTGTTGTAAAAATAAACTCAAACCACTGGCTAAAAAAGTAAAAAAGTCTAGAACTGTTTAAAACGCTATACAAATATCATTACTACAAACATCTCAAAAGTAAAGAATGTAAAAAGTATAAAGAATATCCAAAATGAAGGAATTTTTAAGAAATTTTTTAAACTAAACTAAAAAATTAATATTAATATTAATATTAATATTAATAGTAAACAAAAGTCTAGAACTGGCTAGTACTACAAAAATAAAAATGTAAAGAATGTAAATATATAAAATGAATAAATAAAAATTTTAAAATCCAGAATTTCAAAATAAACAATTAGAAAAATTAAGAAATTAAAAAATCTGACATATGAATACTACTTTAAAAATGAAGAATATTGAGATGAAGAATTGCAAAAATTTCAAAAATGTCAAAAATATGAAAAAAGTAAAGTACAAAATCACAAAAATAAGAATCAGAAGAATGTCCAAATCGAAGAATGTGAAAAATGAAGAGTAAGGAGTAAATTGAAAATGTAATAAACTGAAATGAATGTAAAAAATCAAAAATTTATAAAATGTTCAAAAATAAATAATGAAAATTAAAACGACGAATGCCAAAAGAAGAAATTTTGGATTAAAGAATATTCAAAAAAGGAAATTTTAAGATAAACAATTGTAAAATGAATTATCAAATAAATAATAATGCCAAAATGTAATCAAGAAATTAAAAAAAAAACAGACATATTCATTATAAAACGAAGAATTACAAAAAACTATTATGTAAAAAATTATGTAAAAAAGGTATAATAAAGAATATAAAAAATCGAACGTATAAAAATTATAAAAAACAATTAGCAAAATATCAAGAATGTTCAAAAATTAAGAATTAAAAATATATCAAAAATTCCAAACACAAACACAAAAATAAAAAATATTAAAATAAATAATATAAAATTAAATAAAGATTGTCAAAAATAATAAATATTTTAATATTTATAAAAATGAAAAATGTCAACAATTAAGAATTTTTATAATTATGATAAAGTTAAAAGTTTACAATATTTAAAATGTACAATAAAGAATAAATTGGTTTTGTTTGCCAATGTTAACAAAATACACTTTTCTATTGAACTATTTACTATTGCACTATTAATTCACTGAAAAATCTTGCTAGTGTAAAAACCAGTTACTTCCTTATTGAATTAAAAACTCCACTAGATAGCAAATTTCAAATATATAAGAATTTAATACACAACTAAATTCTTTTTTTTAAACTTAAACTATATATAAACCACTTACATTCAATTAAGGAATTTAGTTTGTTCTGGGAAGATGCAACGGTGATAAACTCGCAAGTGTTTGTAATGGTCAACGTGAAGAATTTTAGGGTGATTACGGTTGGCACGCGTGGTCGCAAGTTTTCAGCTTGCTGGTACCCGGTACTTATATTTATTACCTTAAAGAATTCGCGCAAAAAATAAGGAGCCCACTAACGGACCGTCAAAGTAAAATATTTTTAAATTAAACTTAGTATACCTACCCGTAAGTATTACGGCATGTCTTGGAAAATGCAGTTTATTTAGATTAAACCATTTTTTATTTAAATTCCCATTCACTTTTGTATAATACGCTTAAGAAGCATCGGGTTTTCGCAACGCGGGCGCCATCTGGTGGCGAGAGGAAGGCAAAATTCTTACTCGACAAATTTTGTTCAATTGCACAGCTAATTCGTACACGTTATTTGTGTTTCCCGTTGCAAGTAAAAACTAAAAAACTTTGCTTTAGTATTTGTTTCGATTTATTATTCCTTATATCATTGATTAAGAAACTCAACGCTTATATGGTTATATTGGTATAGTTACATTATTGTGTGTATTTTATCTAAGTGATCATGATGAGTTATTGTGTTTTTAATTGTAATTAAAGAACTAAATAATTGCATTTTCATGTTTTGCCAAAGGATCCAATTCGGTGCATATATTTGGTGCAGAACTAATGATAGCATTACATAATTTAATTTATACTTATGTTTGGACATTTTTAAGAAATCATAACCTTAAAATCAAACATTTCTGTATTTGAGTACTCTAAAAAACGCCGGCAACTGCATGCATTTTAAAATAGTAGGTAATCGACAAAATATATCTACTAATAATATCTACTAATTCAACATAATATTATATTATATTATAATACATAATATAATACCCGTTTTGGTTTTTTACCGTTGAGTGGAGACTTTCTCAATCAACGATTTCATTTTAAAATAGTACCCAATGGACAAAATATATATACGAATTCATGGCAACATAATATTATATATAATACATAATATAATACCCGTTTTGGTTTTTTTACCGTTCAGTGGAGACCTTCTCAATCAACGGTTTTAATAATGCATAACGCTGTTTGAATTTAGACGACTTATTTGTTTTATGATTGAAATGTTACATTATTAAAATGTGTATTTATTGTATCTAATAGGTAGATTTTCACTGCTTATTGGGAAATTGGTAAAAACTCAACCCAGAATTTTCTCTCGAAAAACACCCAAGAACACAACAAATTGTTCCACGTTTTTCTCTCTCAATATTTTTAACATTTTCCGGCCTTATTCTCAAAAACAGCTAATTATTAAAAGTTGTAGTTTAGCGTATAAGTAAAAGACTTATAATTTATTGTAAGGACTTTAGAATAAAATTCGAAATGAGGCTTCAAAATCCTTTTGAAGGACTTTTAGAAATCCAACACATTATATTAGCTAACTTTGGAATGTTTTTCTTAAAAGGTAGATACAGTAAAATAATCTTTGGTAGATAAATAAATGTCATCCTGGTTTACCTTTGTCCATTTAAGAAAAAAAGTGCAATTAAACATCTAAACTGAAATGTATGTGTGCTGTAGCTTTGTTTAATTAGTAATAGTATACTACCATGGTTGGTAAACAAAACGTGGTATTTAAGTGATCGTTTGATTAACCTGTGATATAAGTGGTTATAAAAGAAACCATCATTGTAAAGGAGGAACAATTATTATGTGTTCATTGCCCAAGTTCTGTTATTTGATAAAGTTGATCATCGGTAAAGGATTTCGATTCGATTTAAAGGGTCTGTAGTATGAAAACAGAATTCTAGAAGTTTAAATTTTACATTGAAATAAGTATAAAAACGTATTATTATAGGTATACCTACCTAAAAATAATCCTACATATTTGTTCTAAAATGAACAAAAAATGTGAAAAGGTAATGTAAAAAATCACACGTATAAGAATTACAACTAAAAATTAAGAATTAAAAATTTGTCAAAAATTATGGGAGTCAAAAATTCCAAACAAAAAATACAAATATAAATGTAAAAAATCAAAAAAAATTGGGTTTAAAAAAATTTCAATTAAAATATTAAAATAAAGAATATATGTATAAAAAATTAAGAATTTATAAAATGAAAAATCATTTAATAAAGTTTTTGAAAAATTATGAGAAGGTAAAAATGTTCCATTACTTAAAATGTAAAATTAAGAATTAAAAAAACAAAAATAATGTCCAAAATAACAAAACTTTTGTATTTAATTAAGGCATGTGTTATAACATGACAATAAGAAAACCGTTGTTTTTTTTTCTCATACGCACTTACATATACATATACATGTAGAAGTGTAAACGATAACAACTCGTGTAGTCTTAGCAACTTTAATACTTTTACTCGAAAACCAGACCGTCAATCTTTCTGAAACTAAATGTAAATGACTTTTGAGTGGACTCCTTATACAACCCAGAATTTTTTCAACATTTTCCCATTGCTACTAATATCTTGCCCGAACTTTCTTAAATAATAATATTCTAAAATAAAAAATATCAAAATATGTACCTACTGTTAATATCTTAAACAATTTTGACCATTTAGTCATAATTATTTATTGCTTACAACAGCACAGTATAAAAGGTATGCCCCACAAAGCATAACAAATAGAAATAAATTAACAAATCCATACATATTATAAATGCAGAAGTCTTTCTGTTTGCTTCTCTTTCACGCGTAAACTGTCAACACGTTTTTGATGGCATTTGGTACGGAAATAGTTTTTGGACTTTTTTTAAATTTGTATTTATTTTGTTTATATTTTACTTTTGATCTTTGATCTTTGACCTTTGACCTTTTCTAATTCCACCCAAACGGGTAGATGGTATTCTATAAAACAAAATTAAATATAATTCTTTCAGCAAATATGTAGTTAACAATAATTAAATAACTTTAAAGAAATGAAGATAACCCATAAAAAACATCTAGCCTCTTACCTCTTTATTAAAAAAATCTGAAGATCTCTCCACAATAGAATGTTGATCAAAATAAGTTCTATGATAACTGATAATTAAAAATAAAATATTTTGTCCAAGCATTCTTTGTGGGACAGCTAATTTTATTTGAGAAAGTAGAAATAGGCAAGACATAAGACCATTTAATTACTTAAAAATGTTTGTGCACATGTCAAACAAAATTTGTTTCTTCTCCAGATTTTTTTTTTTTTAATAATAGTCATGATCAGTAATAATGTTAAGATTGAATTTCAATATCTTCAGAACTTATGTTGAACTTTTTCAAGCGATAACTTATACAGATTGTATTGTAAGTCCAGATAACTGACCCATACCCCATCCGAAGCCTTAAGGCTGGTAATTACCAACCCTATAAAACCGATCTCTCTGCTATTCCTTAATGTAATCCCCAAAATTTTGTTAGATTTCACAGCTAATTAATCTAAGGGATTAGAAAAACTTGAATGAGAATTAAAAATCAAATATTCCTAAATCTTTGGCCACTTTTTTCTTTCCAATGGTTGCCCATTTATGGAATTAAAAAGATGAAATTCTACTTTTTTTCTATAAAAATATATACACAGTAAAAAATTATTTGTTAATTTTAACCAAATATTAACCAGATTTTATGTTAATCCAGGTCCACATAACTTAATATTAAGTTTACAACCAACTGTAATATGTTAACTAATTAAATAAATAGTTTTTAATTAAAAAAAAACATTTTGTAGATTTAATAACAAAATCCTATATCATTAATTCAACCATAATTCTTGTAGTTTTCAAAAAGGACCTTATTTTTACAAACCTTTTTGTAGACCCAGAAACAAAAGTATGTATTTCGTAACTTTAACCCACTTAAGTTGCAGACGCTGAAGTCAGTTTAACCTGTTGATGCGTATTGTCATTGGGAAATGTTTTGATTGACTTCCTGAAATAACGTGTACTTTTTTAACGAAATAATTTGTTAAACATTAACAAAATATTCTGTAACCTTTGAAATTAACAAAATGCTTACAAAATTGCATATTACCTTTACAAAACTTTCGGTAAAATATTTTCCCTTGTTAAAACTACAAACCCTGGTTTTCTTCAAAACAGGATGTTGAAATTTTACAAAATAAAATTAACAAACTACAAGTAGAGTATGAAAACACTTACTAATATAAAGGATCAAAAATAATGTAACTAGTTATACCTAATTGAACTTTTTTAAATGAAGATATTACAAATTTAACAGAATGCATACAAAACGATAAACAATTGTGATTTTAAGGAATTTTTCCTATTTTTATTGAAGTATTGATTCCCAATTATGATTTTAATGAATTAAGAATTACATTTGGAGGGAGTTGATCTTAAAGGCTCTCTTGTAATCAAACGGCAAGAGTTGGACTAAAAATATTTTAGGTAAAATTTGGTCTATTATAATACAAGGCACCCAGCAAATTTCAAGTTAATCCGTTAACGTTAAATTTTAGACTGTCGGTTTGCATAGGAACAGACCATTAAGACAGCCACGATTTCCAATAAACAAGTAACAACTAGTTATCGCATAAACAACGGCAAAACACGTACAATATGGCCGCACGGAACGACATAAAAATCTTAGCAGCATCGCGAGCGGCAAAAGGGTACGGTAGCACGGTAGCTATTGGTCATCAATAAACAAGAATAAGAAGAACAAGAGAAAAGAGAAACAATGCTGAACGCGATCCATAGATCTAAAAGCTTACAGCTGCCCTTTCCGGTAGATATCGAAAAACAATAAAGGCGGCTGCGGTCACGGCCAAGGCTCGCCGCGACCGATACACACACCAAACATAAATTCAGATCGAAACGGTAGCATCCTCCAGAACAATTGTTCTTTGCTTACTGTCGTCGGTTTTGTATAAATGCTGTTCCTTTTCCAACTTCTTCTCCTCGTCGCCCAGTCGTCCTCGTGGTCTTTTTGCTCGTTTTGTTCTTACTCTCTTACACATCGTGCCACTGCGAGCAGTCTTTGCTGCCTGCTGCTGCTGCTGCTTCTTCTTCTTTTCCTCCGTCGTCGTTTTTCTCATTCTTTTTCGTTCGTCACATCTCAAACGATGTTGGTGGCTGCTATGTCAGGATTTGTGTCCGGCAAAATCTAGACTTTGCTAAATATTCTTTTAAATTAGATTATTTTCCTTCTTTTATTGCCACCAAATAAGTGACTATCCAAACGATTATTCTTTTATGTTTGCTGCCAAAACCTCCAAAAAATCATTGAATTTGTGTGATTTTTAGCAACTTTTCCTTTACTGGAAGTATTAAATACAAAACTAACTGTTAAAAGTACTAAAACGTCCTAAATGTGTCTTTTACGCATGTGTTGATCTCAGACTGTCAACGTACAAACTTAAAGTTACTATAGAAAAGTATGACAGACAAAAACAAAATGTAGTACGGGAACACTGGTATATTATAATTATTAAAATAATATATTTCCCCTCTTGTGCCCACAGTCATATGCTTTTTATTTCATAATATAATATCCTTAATTATGCTCAATATAAAAAGAATCAACAAAAAAACTTTTGAATTTCCCTTAGAAAAAACCTTAGGGACACGTGTTACTTTTGATCAATTAACTTCAAGAACTTTTTTTTAAATTTGGAACTGATGTACCTAAGGGTCCAGCCAAATTGAATTTTTTAAAAATTTATACATGGTGTTTAAATTTATACAGGGTGTTTTCAATATCTTTGAATTTTGACCTGATACAGCTAAACTAAGCACGGATTTGTAATTTACCAAAAATTAAGTTTATGTGTTTACTGTGATATTTTCACCTTCCTACAGTGTCCGTAGATTTAAGGTTAAGATTAATTTTTATTACACGTGCATAAATCAAGAGTTTAATATAAATAATTATTTTAAACTTACCAATAAATATACACAATTAAATAATCATTTAATTTAACAGGACAAAAACGATAACCAACAATGTACAAGATAAGATAAGAAAAGGAAATAACGCGAGATTGGCACAAAGCATAATGCATGGCCGACTGCATAGAAAAATAATATTGATAGTTGCTTTCAATAGTGTTTGGTAATAATTCCCAAACGTTTAGTATTTTACTCCACCTTTAAAACGCCCATTATCGTACATGTTTCCATGACACTAAGTGACCTTTTAAATACGCATTGACAAGTTGTGGCTTTATGGCGCTTTAGTCACGGGCTGAAGTTAGCAACAGGTTTTTAGTCACAGGCTAAAGTTAGTTTTAAGTTAGTTGACAGTAGTCAAATGTCATACAGTCGTTAAAATAGAGTGCCTTCTTGTCAAATAATACATCTGTTCTGACCTTTTGATTTCGTCTAGTGGTGCAGTTAACTAGATTTAACTGCTAAAGCGTTATAAATTTTGCGTATAGTGCCCATAAAACATTCTCTTCTCTTTTACTGTAAATAAATGCTTGTTTATCGATTGTTAGTTTATTTTTAAGGGATAAATTTTGATTCATACAGAAAAATTTGATATTTTAACACCGCGGCGCGCCGGTAGATTTCCAATTTAGAAATTCTAACGGGAATTGCAATAAATACAACTGTCACTTTTTGTAACTTTAACATTTCCCGTGTAAGATAATATTTTGCAATTATAGTAATTAAAAAAATATAACATATTTTCTTAACATAATCATATTTTGAAGTTATTTTAATATTTTAAAGTAGCAATAATTGTTAAGAATAATTAAAATAATAACGGACAATGTTAATGGTAAAAAATTACGTCAAAAATGTTTATTGGGATGGTTACTTTATTTTCGTATAGATGTCGCTTTATACAAATTTTTAATTTAAATTATTTTTTAGATAATATTAAGTATTTGACGTAGAAAAAGTATAGTATGCAACTCGTTTATAAACTTTTCTAAAATGGCCTTTATAAAACTTGATACATAATAAACTATTATCTTCGAGCTTACTATAATTTAAGCTTTATTATTATCAACGCTCACCACCCAAGTATTCGATTATCTCCTAGGATGTACAAATATTTGTTTCATGTATCATTAAAAGTTGACTGTTACATTAGATTTATTAAGTGTTAAAACAGTTTTCTATGAGTTGTCATAGGACGGTAAATGTCCTTTATATACAGACCAATTTTTGCATCTAAAAATATAATCGTTTTATTTAAGGAATTGGTAAATATAACAAAAATTGATAGCCGCAGAATTTTATGCCGGCGGAAAGATCGCATGTGCCGTCGGCATAAGAAAGTTTGGTGGAGTCCCGGCTTAAAAAAGGTTTTTTTATTTGCCCAAAATAGACTTATATGGGCTTAGCCCCCGAATTTTTTTTGCCCCCGAAACTTCCCGTATAAAGCCTCTCAGACCTTTTTTACAAGGAGCGTTCAGGGCAATTATGAAGAGATTATTTTAATTTTAGCTTTTGTTTCGAGCACATATAGTCAGTTTGGCACAACTAGAATTGCCAACTCAAAAGAGACAAAACTACTCGTATTAATATTTTATTGTTGTTAACTTTTTTTCATGATCTTTATAATAGAAGCCAATTTCTTATTCTTTTCATTTTCAAAATCCCTTATCTTATCTGATCTTCAAAACCGAAAACCCATAATTTTAGGAAGAGTATTGATGACTATATGAATATATAACCTTTTAGTATGCTACACAGAGAAAAGTAATCTCTTGATTTTACTATATCTGTCTTGACTCAAATAAATTATTTATTTCGATATGATCCAAGAAGATATTTATTTGGTGGAAAACTTGGGTTTATTTGACTTTTTAAACTGATGGTTTGTTTAATACAAGTAAATATTTAGTTGACTTTTTATCTCAGGTTTAGTAGAATCTTACTTAAAGAAACAAAACATTTACTTGAAGTGAGTAATTCATTTTTTTAAATTAAATGTGAAGCTTTCTTAAAGAAACAAAATATTTACTTACATGAAGAAAACAATTTATTTCAGACAAATAATTAGTACCTTTTAATATTATAATTTCACGAAATATATAGTGATTGAACCAAACAAATGTTTGCTTGTTTTAATACTATGATTTATTTATTTTAATGTTGTTAATTACTTGATATTTGGTCGGGAAAATTAAATTAAAAAACGTTTATTCCAATATTTTTTATTTGAACAAAACAAGTGTACACAGGAAACAGGAAGTTCCTTGACGCATTACTAGTATATTACCAGTGGTATTATTCCAGAAAATGAAACCTTCAACTCGCTAGAGATAATGTTTTTAGTGCGTTCCACTAACTACTTCAAGTATTGACAGCTGTTTCCACCTATTTAAGGTCTCTTTAGTATCGAACAACTTGTAGTGTCACACCAAAGCAAAGGATTACCTAAGTTTATATATTCTTCATGTAAGCCAACAGAGGCGAGATTTAAGAACATCACGTGATCCACAAAAATATAAATATTTATGGGTTAACTGGGTTTAATGAACTATTCCTTTTTTTCTGGGTAGGTGCACTTCTCAAATATTTTTAGATAAACACCGTTTTGGTGTTCATTTTCAACCCTAATTCATGGTGTTATATTAACACCACTTGGTGTTGGATTTTGACACCATTTTAGGATTACTCTTCACACCGTAGATATTTTAAACAGTGTAGGTACACAAAATTTTAATTATCTAAATCACTTTAACTTACCAACAAAACTAAAAAGCAAATGGGTTAAATTATTTTCTTTAAAGAATTCTTCCATACTATTAAACATAAGCACTGAAACACAAAACTATAACCGTTGATTAAACACCTCCTTCTCTTAAGTTAAGAGTCTTCACGCAAATGCTGCCGGCTGCCGGCTGCCGGACAAGCGTCTTTGTCTTTGGAGTCAAATGCTCTAATTGGCTCCGCGAGTCACGTGGACATAAAAGCAAATAAATATGTATTTGTTTCAAGTAAATGTATTTTTGAAACAAACAAATCACGTGTTTACGTTAATTATATAACATACATTGTATCAATTCTATTATTTTGTTAAAATAAGATATTATATGCTTGTATTAACATTTGATAAAACTAAATCCATACAACCTATATCCAAACAATTTAATTGATTGCTCTAAATAAATATTTCTTTACAATTAATCACAATAATAAGTTGTTTTCAAGAAACTCATGATTTACAACCAAATAATAGTATTTTCTTATTGTAAACAAGAAGTTACTACGAATAAGACAATTTTACTTCATACAAGAAAAACTGTTTCAAATAAATGCATTTTCTTAAATCAAGAGATTACTTTTCTCTGTGTACTTCACACCAAAATCTGTATTTTAGAAGAAGGTGAAATACTAGCACCAAAGCTTATTTGTGGAAAATTTGTTAATATATTCTATAATTTTAATGAATTCAATGACGATTAAACGATTTGACAATAAAGTGTCCGTCTGCATTTAAATTTTATTTAGATAAGTAGCGGATAAAATATTTATGTGTACCTAATGGAATCGACGAATACATTATGGAGAAATAGACAATATCTATATGAATTAGATTCACATACACGAGGTAACTTATTGTAATTAATGTTGGTCGTAATAAAGTCTGGCCTGAAAGCAAAACGCAGACAAATTCACAGGCCGAACAACAATATCCATCAGAGGGTTCATGAATTGCTAATTCCTTTTAAAATATTCCAAATTTATATTAAATTATTCAAAAACAAATATATATCGCTACTTACAATCTGGTTCATTGAATTTTAATATTTATTTTCATTTAAAATCGACACTCAATAAATTACGCTAACGCTTTTGTATTCCGATGTCCCAAACATTTGCATAATTTTTCGTTCTTCCAGACAACATTCACATTAACGCGACAAACCATATCCGCAATTTACTTTTAATCTATTTTAACCATTGATTATTTATATGCTATATGCTTTTAAAAGCCTGTTTTTATACTTAGGCATTATTATAGAACAACTAGAAAATATGCACTAGTAAAGCTCTTAAGGATAAAAGATGTCCTTTTTATTCTCAATTCCCAAAGCGTTAAGAAAATACTGTTTAATTCTTGCCAAGAAACTGA